AGTTAGAAATCGACTTCAAAGTTGGAAAGGTAAAATGCTTTCGTTTGGGGGTAGAATTACATTGATTAAAGTTGATTTGGTTAACTTGCCAGTCTATTTCACGTCCTTATTTTCAATTCCGAAATGCATAGCTGAGTTGATTAATTCTCTTATAGCTAGATTTTTGTGGAATATTAAATCCAATAGAGGGATTTATTGGATCAAGTGGACTAGGGTATGTGGTTCGCAGTCTTATGGAGGATTGGGTATTTTTGATGTAAAATCTAGAAATAGAGTTTTATTGAATAAATGGATTTGGCGCTTTAGTGAGGACAAGGACTGCTTGTGGAAAAAGATTATAGTTGCGAGGAATAACTATGGTCCAGAATTTATTCTGCCAAGATCTGTAAAAAATCGAAAATCTTCTTGAATATGGCGTGACATTATTAACCCGGCAGTTTTGTATGAGGACGGGTTCTTATCTGAGGTAAGATGTATTATGGGAAATGGTTCCAGAATTGATTTTTGGACAGATTATTGGACTGAAGTACGTTCTTTAAAAGAATCATTTCCTCGAATTTATGGAATTGCGATTAAAAAATCTGGTACTGTTGATGAGTTTGGGAATTGGGTTTGTGGTGCCTGGGAGTGGAAAATTCAGTTGAGAAGAGGATTATTCGTCTGGGAATTGGCGATATGGAATGAGTTTAATTTAATTCTGGGAAGAGTTACTTCTTCAGGACCACGATCGGATAGCTTCAAGTGGACAGGTTCGGTTGACAGTCAATATAATACGAAGGATTATTGCACTAAATTGGATTCAGTTAGTAAAGAGGCTAATCCAACTTGGAATCTGGTTTGGTCTAAGTATGTACCGTTTAAAATTTCTGCTTTTGTGTGGAAAGCTATGCATCAAAGACTAACGGTGGTTTCAGAATTGATTAAGCGAGGTATTTTTTGTATTGGTCATCATCTCTGCATATTCTGCAATTGCGTTATAGAAGATCAAAACCATGTGTTGCTCCATTGTGGTGTTTCTTGGAAAGTCTGGCAACGATGGTGTAAGGTGTGGGAAGTCAATATTGTTTTTCCCATGAACGTTAATGAGCTATTACAAATCTGGTTTTCACAGAAAATTAGAATTAAAGTTCGGGTTTTATGGCATATTGGTTTCTTCGGCTTGATTTGGAATATTGGCTGAGTATAAACAAATCTCAGTTCGAGGGCAAAGTATTCACAGTAGAGCAGATTTTTGATAACGTTCTGTTGCAGATAGGAGTTTGGATGAATTTCTTGTGGCCATTGAAGGTTCCATGTGTGCTGGATTTTGTTCGTAGTCCAAGGTCCTTTATATTTGAATGCCGCCATGGTTGAAGTCTTCTCTTTGTATTAGTTTATCAATATAGGTGTCAAGACGAATTTGTTATTTTGCTATGTTTTGTGCGTTATTGATGTTGTATTGCTTATTAGCAATCTATTGTTCTTTGGTTTAGCTAGAAATGGTAGAGTATTGTAAATTAGGTTTGTTTTTAGATAGACCAGAATGAATTCTGTTGGTCTGAATGGGGTGATATTTCGATTGATGTACTGGTAGTTTCTGGTTTATGTAATTATCCACCCCATGGCACACTCTTTTTCCTCCAAATAGGTTTAGGGAGGTTTTTTAATGAGGTCCTTGGGGTGGTGTACTTTGTATCCTTATTAATACAAAGTGCCCCTATTTCAAAAAAAATGACATAAAAGAAACGTGGGTTGAATTGTCACTTTCTAATGTCTACCAAGACAGCAGAACAATAACTTCACTTTATGGGGAAGTTGATGGTTGCATGTGGCTGCTGGAATATTAATCAAGAATATTAATCAAGTACACATAATTTAGCGAATCAAATCATAGTATTTCACTAAGGGTTGTTTGTTACTTTAGAATAATTAAACGTTGAATGATTCAAATATTGAATGATTCAGAGGCTCTGTATGAATTAGCTCTTAATATAATGATAAGAATAAGAAGCATATAGAAAATAATAATTGAAAAGGATGAAAGAGAATTAAGGAGGTACCAAAATGAAAATTATAAAAAGAAGAGGTGATACTTGTAAATTATATTAGAAGGATTGACGTGTTCAATTGGAAATTGTATTTTTGACGTCAGCACGGGATCCTGTTTAGACGTCTCCCTTATGGTAAAAATATCATAACAATCTTTATATTATATCTCATATTACATTTTAGTCTTTCTATTGAAATAAACAAATTGATTCATGTATATTTGACAAGAAAAAAAAATGATTCCTCCATTAAAAATTCACTTTGTCAGTAATTATTGATGTTGTAGCTTTTAAAATATAAACATTTATATATATATATATATATTACAATTTAACTCTTAACCATTCCGTTAAAAATTTCATCAACATATATAATGCAATGATTTTTTTTAATAAAAAGACCAAATTATAATACAAGATATAGTGCAAGGATTGCAATGGTACGTATACCCTCCATGGATCAGCCTAATTTTCAATTATGAGAGGCAATGGTAGATCTAGAAATTAAAAAATATGGTCTAAAATTTTAGTACTCATTTCTAAAAAGATTTGGATATACAAAATTTATTCTTATTTTTTTTCTATTATCATTAATAAATTAACTAAATTTAATATTTTTCTTAAAATAATAGATGTACAATAACTCTCCTATATAACTATATACATCATCCTCGGATGTGTGGTCATCTTCTCGTACATATTATGCCTTTTTAGTACAGAGGGAAAAGATATAAAAATATAGTACAATTCATATTTTAATCTTAAATTTATTGAATGTTTTTCCCCTAAAAAGTAATTATATTTACTTATTAGGTTTAATTTAATTATCATTACCGATATATTATACTAAAAATATGAGTTCAAACATATTAAAATTTTTGTCTGTACATGTATTATGTCAAATTTTATCTCGAATTTACGTTAGAATTTTTTTTTATTAATTTAGGATAAATACAAGACAATATCTATTCAAATATAACTTTTAACTATTTGACATTGAACACTTACACCCTTGGTATTCATAGTTCTCGAACCTGGAACCTCAAGAAATAAGAACAAATTCTCTATCACTAAAATCGTTCGGTCCGTACTAAACATTAGAAACCTGGTTGTATTCAAATGGCAGGAATTGATATGGTTTTCAAAATTAAAATGACGGAAATGAATTAGGGCTTCCAAAGAAAGGCATGAAAGTTGGAAATGATCATCCAGCTCAGTTGGTAGAGCACAAGGTTCTTAACCTTGAGGTCGTGGTCTCTTACGGAAGTTGCTCTCAACCTGGTGTTGGGGGTAGCCTACTATCTTACCTCCCATTACCCCATACATATGGGAAAAATGGACAACCATTTATAGAAAGGCATGAAAGGTAGCACGTACATGCATGTGAATCACTAATATTTTATCTGCCAATCGATTAAGAAAATCACAAGCTCGATGATCATAAATGGAACTGTACATTGATTACCTACATATCCGTCACTAGGGATGGCAAAAAAATCCGAACCCGACGGGAAAAACCGAAAATCGAATTAAACGGGTCGGGTTCGGGGATGATAAACGGGGACGGGAAAAACTCATTTATTTTAAACGGGGATGGGGACGAGGACGGGTTTGGTATCCCCGTCCCGATTACCTGATACCCGCCCCGATACCCGACCCGATAAATATTAAAAATAATTTTATATATATATATATATATATATATATATATATATATATATATATATATATATAATAATAATTTAATTTAAATAAAAATATATATTTAATTTAAATATATATATATACCCGGCCCGATTCCCGGCCCAATACCGACCCAATACCCGGTCTAATACCCGTTTAAATAACTGTTTATGCTAAACGGGAATACCCGTTTTCCCGCGGTTTTTTCCGATTACCCGACGGGGATCCCCGTTTAAATCCCCGCAGTTTTTAAATGGGGACGGGTACCGGTTTTTTAAACAGGGACGGGGGGACCAATACTCGGCCCGAACCCGGCCCGTTGCTATCCCTATCCGTCACCGTTATTATTATGGAATAATATTTGATACGTCAACACTATATAATTTTATTTCATATATCATCTATAAACTAAATATTGATATATATCATAAAATTTTAAAAATTAAATTTGTTGCTAGTAATATATTATCACTTGATGGGATTTATATTGGAGTTTCACTTTATGTGATCCTTAATTATGCATTTATTTAAAATAGTATCTATTTAAAATTTTATTTTTTTTATAAATGTAAGATTGTAACATATTTATTTAACTGAATCTTATTATAACTTTAAAATTGTCAACTCTCTGTTATTATGATATTCGAATATACTCCTTCACTTATTAAAGTTTTTAAGGAATCTATAACCTTATGAGACATGAATACGATTTTTAACGTAAATTAGAAGAGATGAATAAATCGCAGATGATATGAACTCTCTTTCACTTATTAAAGTTTTTAAGGAATCTATAATCTCAGGGGATATGAATGCGATTATTTACTTAAATTAGAAGAGATGAATTATAAATCGCATATGAGATGAACTTGTTATGTCAATCGTGGAAAGGAATAAGAAACATGGGGGAATCGAAGAAGTTTAAAGATATTTTCAATATCTGGCAATGGTATTTAATTCGATTAAATTTTGGATAAAATTGAATTACTATTTAAAGACGAAGTTCTTGAAATGTAGCTATTGGAGTTGATGAATTAGTTTGGTTGAAAGGCTTGAAAAAGGGTGATAGAAGAAGGCATGAAAAAGAGGGGCCGTGATGTCGCTTGGAAGGGCTGTCCTTAGAGCTTCATCATCAGACCCCTGTAAAAAAAGAAAAGAAAAAATAGACCCAAATCTCACAACTTTGTCCCCACAACCCCACATGATATTGTTTCTCCTCTCCTTTGAAAAATCCTTCTCACCATATAAACCCAACACCACCTCTCTCATTCTCCAGAGCTACAAACAACAACAATGGCGATCAACGGGAAATCGAGCAGACTGGCGCAGACAGCCCTCATAAAGCAAATCCTTAAACGATGTTCCAGCTTAGGGAAGAAACAACAATGCTACGACGACGATGATGAACAGCTAGGACTCCCTCTGGACGTGCCCAAAGGTCACTTCGTCGTATACGTTGGCCGGAACAGAAGCAGATACATTGTACCCATATCGTTCTTGACCCGACCCGAGTTCCAGAGGTTGCTCCGCCAAGCAGAGGAAGAGTTCGGATTCGATCACGACATGGGACTCACCATCCCTTGTGAAGAGGTTGTTTTCCGGTCTCTAACATCCATGCTCAGATGAAAATCAAAGCCTGGTTTCCATAGAGAAACGTTGAATTGAGATGAAGCTGCTTCTTTTGCTTCTCTCTCTCGTTTCCGAGTTGTTTAAACAGATCTGACACAAGAAAAAGCCCACAACAGAGATTGTTTGGTTTTCAGATTTGTAAATCTGAGAAAATATTTTCCTCGCCGAGGCCATTCGGGTTGTATATCAAGATTCAATTGTCAATGTACCCTGTGAGAGATTTAGGGGTTATCCCTTTTTTTCCTTATTATTATCAGGTCTTCTAGAAGGTGTAAATGAACACATCGTTCGTGAATCGTTTATATTATATTCGATTATTAAGTTAAATAAATGAGTGTGAACATATTTTTTATGTCCATTCAATAAGAAAATGAACATAAGTGTGTTCGGTTCGTTTATGTTCACGAATAAGCTCGTTTATAACCTCGCTTAGAAGCTTGTTTTTTTTAAATTAGTGAAGGAACATATTAAATTGAATATGATGAAATTGGAGTTTAAACTATGAATCCTAAGAAGTTTAAGCACTAGTTGTGTAGTTTTACCATTTCCCTATTATACATAGAAAACCCTTTTCCCATCTCTCTTTTCCCTTCTATTCTAAACTAAAAACTAATATGTACGTGAACCGTAAACGAATGTTAAATGAACATGTTTGCGAACAATTAAATGAATATATTAACTAACATTAAATGAATATATTCGTGAACGTTAAACAAACAAACATAAACACCTTCAAAAATAAATAAACGAACACGATAATAAAATTAAACGAACACAAACCGAACATTAACACCTTCAAAAATAAATAAATAAATAAACACGAACACATTCGTTCAAGCTCGGTTCATGTACACCTTAATCTTTCTCCTTTCAATTGAGAACACAAGCACAAGGCACACGTTCACTAGTTAAGGGTTTACTTTTATAAAAATAAATAAATAAATTCTAAAAATTATCACTTTTGTTTGAGTTTTATAAATATTTTCTCATTGTATTAAAAAAACATAAGATTTGATCACTTTCGTTTTGTTTTAATTAAGATATGTTCCCCGAATGTTAATGCATTAAACCTTTAACGGTTTGCTTATGTGGCTCCGTAAATATATAAAATTAAAATTGCATCATTTCCACATAGAAAATACATGAATTAAGTTTTGGTCACTTTCCTTTTATATTTGTACATTTTTGCTCACTAAATTTAAAAAACATAAGTTTTGGTCACTTACATTATTGTTTTTATTAAGTTTTGGTCACTTACATTATCGTTTTATTAAGTTTTAGTCACTTACATAGAAAATACATTATACTTGGACATTGAATGTCGTTAGTTTGATGATGTGACCCGTTAGTAAAATCGTTTAATTTTTATTTTAATCCCTACACTTAGACAAAATACTAATTATGTGACATTGAATACTCAAATCTCTGGTATTCTTGGTGCTTGAACCCGAAATCTCAAGGAATAACAACAATTCTTTTATCACTAAAGTCACCCGTACGATCACTATTATAATGTAACTGTAAAGCATATGCATATACAAATTAAACGACTCAGAATATATCAAAATCAATCCGTAAAAATATAACATTACATAATTAATTGAATAATTGTTTTAATTAAAACTAATTAAAAAATAACACTAGTCGCTCTCCTCTTTTCATTTTTTTTTGCTTTTAAGTTTTTTATTTATTTAACCGGCGGTGACACCAATTTGATGTTGATTACCGATCGTTGGTTCTTTTTTCTTTTTTTTTGTTTTAATAAGAATAATTCTACATTTAAGACGCGTTTATCTCTACCTTTGTGACACGTTTTTCCTTTTTTTTCTCTATTGTTTTTCATTATTTTATTTATGTTTTGTCGGGATAGGATTGAACGACTTCACGACTGATTAAGATAGCGCTTAATTGAAATCTTGTTGATCTTCTCTGCTATGCACCTTCGGATTGAATTTGGACGCGCGATTTTACGTTCGTGGATAGTTTCTCACGATGTTCGGTTCTGATTTGAAGTTCTCATTGGTCTTTCAATAGCTTAATTTTCTTTGGTGGTTCGTTTGCCGATACAATCAGATTTATTTATTCGAGTCTTTTGATTGTGTTTTTAACCTTTTCTATGTATGATCCTTATATGATCTAAAGTGATTATTTTCAATGTTATAGGAAAAGTCCAAATTATATTTAGTTTACAACATAATTGTAAACTCTTATTATAAATTCAAATATTTTCACTTTTAATAATACTAACGGGTTCTATTAAAAAAGTAATTAAAAAATTACATATAATTTATATAAGGTGAAACTTGATCTAAACCTTTGCTTTCGTCCTTGTCAAATTTAAATTAGAGATTCTGTGTGTAAATAAAAATTTAAGTAACATCAGTCGTTTGCCATTAATGTCTGGTTGATAATATTAATGTTGATCTTAATTCTTCATTATGTCTAATTTTCAAAATTGTTCAACTGTCGGTCATTTGATTTCAAGGACATAATGAAAGCCATTAATAGAGAAGGTAACAGAAATTGCTTTTAAACCCAAATTGGTCAAGCAAAGGCCAATAAAGTAGTGTGATCATGAAGATAATAAGCATATAAACATCAGGATTAAAAGCTCCATGTGCTTGTATCAAATCAGTAGTTACAATGTCACATTATATATGTTTTTAATATATATATATAATTCAAGTTAAGATCATGAAATGTTTATATTATACTTTTAAGAGAGTAAATTTAAAAATAATATTAATAGAAAAGGTAATCATAAACTGCGAACATAAACCATAAAATATTCGTTAAAAAATACAGTAAAACTGTTGGACTAAGTGAATCGCATAAAATTGCAACAAAGGTACGGTTTTAAAATTGAATAAAGTATATTGGAGGTTCTTAAATTATACTTAAATAATCTTTTGGGTCATTGAACTTTCAATAATTAAAATAATTATTAAATTTATCAAATTGTTACGTAGTGGTCACCTTGTAGTTTTTATGATCATAAAGTTTGATAGCTTTAATGATCATTTTACAATAGTTTAACAAAAAATATCGATCATTTTATAACAATTAGAAAAAAGATTATTTTATAATAATTTAATAACTTTCATTGTATTTCTAGAATTATATTGGAATTGAAAGTCAGAATTGTTTTATTTTAGGACAAGAATAGGTACCTATGTTGGGAGTTGGGCTGTTCTGTAGGGTTTGCATGTCTCAACAAAATGTGGGTTTCTTCTTCTTTGTTTTGTTTCAGATTTACCCATCGCATTGTGTACCCCCAACTTACCTATTAATACATACAACATATTCACAGTAACGTAACGTAAGCATGACGATGGAATTTTGAATACTTTCTATTACAAAAATAGAAAAATTCATATTAATTTGTTTAATCTCTTAAGATTTTTTTCTACTAAAAAAATACCATAAAAGAAATAATATTCGACTTTTTTGACTCCTTAAATCGAATGTCAAGATGCAATATTTAAAACATATTCCTAAACCCGAGAGTTAATAATTTTTAGTTATTTTTCATACGTTCAGGTCAGTTTTATTTGATTACATATTTTACTGTGAAAATATTTTTAAGATACTTTAATAAAGTATTGTTACTTTTTTTCGTAGTGTATTTGTATAATATTGTCATGTTTAACCTATGTCGCTTTTATCATGTTATTGGGTAGGCTTCAAATGAACAGGACTTCTACAAATCCAAAATGTATTCAGCATTCCAAAACTATGTTACATTCACTTAGGCAAATCACACAGGATAGCATATACAGTCATCGGTTACAAATTCTAACCTTTGGTTCTTCCAATTATTTCAAAGTGAAGAGTTTCTATGTCCATGAACTGCTTTCTTAAACACCATTCTTTCCTTTGGAGGAAAAGAACGGCTAAAGCCTCTCGAATGTTTCTCCGGCGTTGTTGTGGCAGAAGTCGAAGATTGAGTGCTAGGACTGTGTTTTGAACAGACAGGTGATCTCAAAAGGTTTGCTTCGGTGTCAGAAGGCTGCACGGTGTGTTAAAGCACTCCGTAGGGATTCTGCACCAGTCGGGATCCGTGGCCTGATTCAGCAGTGTCTATCTCTACCTGGTAGTCTTGCAAGTTCATGCCGCTGGTTGTGGGTCCATCCTCACAGAGACCTTCACCCTTCTGACTACTCCCATTGTAGGGTGATCCCATCTTATCGGTTTTGAGGGTGGAGTGCTTTCAATTGCTTGCCGAGAAGGAATATGGTTTCTTGACATTCCGCTAGCTTCTCGGCTGCAGCAGCTAATTCTTTGTCCTGTTGTCAACATGAACAATCTTAAAGTCAGGCGTGTTAAATTGCAGAAGAAAAATAGAACCTAGGAAGAATGACTTGTACAAGAAGTCTCATGGTTGCAAATAAGAAAACCCTGTTGACATGGATTGTTCCATTAGAAAATGGATTCAAAAGTGATCATATCATGACCATATCCGACACTATAATGCGCTCGTTATTATTGTTAACATTAACATTAGGTTTCATGGTTTAAAGAAAAAGACGACATGAAATATAGTTTCACCTGCTTGTTCTTGAGGTCGTTATCGTCTGCCGAACAAACTGAACATTTCCCATTCCTAAACGTGATGGAAAAAAATTATGTTATTATATGAAAATACGCAGGCATATAGGATCAAACGACAAAGAGTTGGTATTAACTTTAAATTGTATGAAAAGAGTGCAATGCTTACATTTTCAATTGATCTTCTAGTTCCTTACATCGGGCAGAAGCATCATGATGACTTATCTTTTCATCTTGAAGCTCACTTTCCAGAGTTTCGATTTTTTCTCTGAGATGGATCACCTCGGTCTCTAACTTCTTTGCGCGTGTTTCAAGTGACCTGTATGACTCTGCCATGCACTTGAGCTGTGTCTCAGCCAAGCTGTTTGATTTTTGAGCAGATGCCAGTTGAGATTTTGCTTCTTCTAGAAGCTGCTCGGTTTCATATAATTGAGACTTGGTCATCTCCAGATTTTCAGTACATAGAGAAAGGTCCGTTGCCAAGTTT